AGGAGCTGCCATGATCGAACTACAGCAACATTTGCATAATAATCAGACAATTCGCAACTCAAGACAGACAGATTGCGAATTGCCTCTACCAAGAATATCACTACCAAAATTTGATGGAAATTATATGCGGTGGGTGGAATTCAAGGACTTGTATATGGAATTGGTCCACAACACGGACATCAGTGACAGTAAAAAAATGCATTATCTGACTACATCATTGGATAACGAGCCAAAGGGGCTAATTAGACATCTTCCAGTAGTAGGAGAAAATTACAATATAGCCTGGACTTTACTTACAAGTCGTTATGAAAATAAGCGACTTCTGGTTACAACACTCCTAAATAAATTAATGGGACAATCCTCCATTAAAAGGGAGTCGGCTCCAGCATTAAAATCTCTACACGATGTAAGCAAGGAATGCATACATGGTCTCAAGGCTCAAGGAGTTCCAGTTGAACATTGGGATATTATCCTGGTACATCTATTGCTGCGCAAGCTGGATGCAGAAACTCTAACAGCTTTCGAACAAGGGCTATCAGACAACAAACGTTTAATAACCATTGATGAATTGCTAAAATTTTTGGAACATAGATTTCAATCACTTGAGGCTAGGGGAAAAGGAGATTCATCATTCACTCGAACATGTGCTTCAGCTACAAAATTTGGTTTAAGTAAAACCTGTCCAATTTGCAATAAAGACGGTCACATGGTCTATGCTTGCAAAAAATTCGAGACGGCTAATCTATCACAACGTTGGAATTGGGTTAAAGAGTTCAATTTGTGTGTGAACTGCCTCAGGATTGGACATCGAGCTGATGAGTGTAATTCAAGGCACTGCACTAAGTGTTCTAAAAAACATAACACTTTGATGCATAATCCAAAGGGGAATCAATACACAAAAGGTACTGTTCTTCAAGGAAATAACTCGACGCCTCAACAAACAGGTCAAGCTTCAGTTTCAAACCAATCATCAAATAAAATAACTCTTTTAACAAACAATACCAGACAGGAATCTAATTATGTCTTATTAGGGACGGCCAGAATAAGATTGCTGGCATCAAATGGAAGACAAATTGAATGCAGAGCAGTATTGGACTCTGGCTCTCAAATCAATCTCATAACAAACCGCCTGTCACAAAAATTGGGCTGCAAGCCTAGGCCAACGCTTATGAGTATGGAAGGCGTAGGAGCAAATGAATCAAAAATACGTCATCAAACAATAATTCGAGTACAATCAACGTTGAACGAATTTGTAGCAGAGATGGATGCACATATCATACCAAAAATCGTTTCAGATCAGCCAATGCAGTATTTGAATATCGAATCCTGGGATATTCCAAAGGAATTAACTCTCGCTGATCCAGATTTTAACAAACCTGGCCGAATAGATTGCCTGTTAGGAGCAGAGATTTTTTTCAAGTTACTTATTGAAGGTCAAATAAAACTAGCAGTTAGTCTTCCAACACTTCAGAATTCTATTTTTGGATGGGTTGTAGCTGGCAATGTTGAAACTTTAAATTCAAGCACGGCAACTTGTGGCATATGCACTACTAAGGAACTAGAAGAATCTATATTGAAATTCTGGGAATCAGAAGAAATTCCAGATTCAACTTCGGAACTCACAGAAGACGAATTGCGTTGTGAGTCACAAATTTTTTGCAACACACTTTTCGAGGAAGTGATAGCAGATTTGTTGTAAAACTCCCACTAAAGAATCATCCATCAGTGTTACCAGATACAAAAGGAATCGCTTACGAGAGGTTCAAGACAATCGAGCGCCGTTTCATTCAAAATCCTGATCTAAAGAATCAATATGTTTCATTTATGAGGGAATATGAAGCATTGGGACACATGACAAAATTCAGCGGTAGCGAAATAATATCTCCCCAATATTTCATCCCTCACCACTGTGTGCTACGTCCAGACAGCTCAACATCAAAACTGCGAGTTGTATTTGACGCATCAGTACACAAATTATCAGAGCCATCACTAAATGACATAATGTTTAATGGTCCAAAAGTTCAAGACGAACTGTTTTCGATTTTGCTCAGATTTAGAATGCACAAATATGTTTTAAAAACTGATGTGGAAAAAATGTACCGTCAAATATGGGTTAACAAAGATGATCGAAATCTGCAACTCATAATGTGGCGAGAAAATCCCACAGAACCACTTAATTATTATCAGTTGAACACAGTTACTTATGGCACAAGAGCAGCACCATATTTAGCAACACGCTGTCTAACAAAATTGGCGGATGAATATCAAGGAAATTATTTATATGGCGCCACATCTTTAAAAAAGGATTTTTATGTTGACGACGGTCTAATAGGAGCTGATACCATCAACGAAGCGTTACTAATTCAACAACAATTAATAACAATTCTAGACAAGGCTGGAATGAAACTAAAAAAATGGTGTGCAAACAACCCAAAACTTTTACATGGAATCGCTACAGAAGATCAAGAAGTAAATCTCAATTTTGATTCCAAGGAAACCCAATTCACAAAGACGCTGGGTCTTTTATGGTTACCAAAGTCAGATTCATTTCGTATCAAGGTTAACAGTCGAGACCATAGTCACACAACAAAACGATCTATGAGCTCCGATTTGGCACACATATATGACCCTTTGGGTCTTATTGGTCCAATCTTGGTCACCGGTAAAATCTTGTTGCAAGGAGCATGGCAGCTAAAACTCGATTGGGATGATGATCTTCCGTCAGAAATACGTAAACAATGGACATCGTATAGAGAAGATCTGGCCTTGTTGGACAATGCAACAGTTGTGAGGCACGTATTCAGCAGTCAAGGCTACAGCCATGTTGAGCTGCACGCTTTTTGTGACGCCTCAGAAAAGGCTTATGGTGCAGCAGTATACATTAGAACAGTACAAAAGGATAAAACGATAAAACTTAATCTACTATGCTCCAGATCTCGTGTAGCACCCATAAAATCTCAAACAATTCCACGACTAGAATTGTGTGCAGCGTTGCTAGCAGCAGAACTCATGGCAAGAGTTAAACTTGATTTAGGCTATCAAGACAAAGCAACTTACTTTTGGACAGATTCACAAATTGTGCTTTCCTGGATAAACAATCATCCAGGCAAATTACCCGTTTACGTCGCCCACCGAATTGTAAAAATCCTTCGGTTAACAATTCCAGAACAATGGCGTCACGTCCCGTCAAAACAAAATCCGGCAGATATTCTGTCAAGAGGGCTTAAACCGCGGGAATTTTCATCTTGCTACATGTGGTTATATGGTCCACTATTTTTATATCAGCCAAAGCCGCTGTGGCCAGCTCCCTTCAAAAGGGAATTAATTGTTGAAGATAACACGGTGGTGCTTGCTTTATCAACACAACAACCTACTAATGAGCATGCATGGGTCTATTCGATTCATTCAAGAAATTTATTTACACATGTCCAAAAAGTTGTTGGATATGTACTTCGTTTCACAAAAAACGCACGGAAACCAAAAGAATCAAGACCAGAGACCATGCAGCTTTCACCGATGGAGCTCGACGTAGCACTTAAGATAATAATACGTCAAATCCAGGCCTCCGATTTTTCTGATCTAAGGAAAATGCTAGTTAAGGACGAATTTGTGCCAAAAACTCATAACCTCAGTTCACTAACTCCGTTCGTAGATGAAGAAGGGGTAATACGTGTTGGCGGACGGCTAAGCTCTTCAAAACTACAATTTGATGCCATTCATCAAATGATTTTACCCAGCAACGATCCACTAGTAAAGTTGCTGGTAGAAGAAATACATAAGGACAATTATCATTGTGGCGCCCAAGCATTGCTGGCACAAGTGAGGCAGCGTTTTTGGCCCCTCAAAGGAAAAAGCTTGATCAGAGCTGTAATACAACAATGCTTAAGATGCAGAAGAGCAAGGCCAATTGTGTACAATCAAATCATGGGAAATTTGCCTGGACACCGTGTGCAACCAGCTCGACCATTTCTCAGCACTGGAGTTGATTATTGTGGCCCAATATGGGTTCATTACAAAACAAGAGGCAAGCGTCCACAAAAGGCGTATATCGCTGTCTTTTGCTGTTTTGCAACCAAGGCCGTACACTTAGAACTTGTGACTGATCTGACCACAGATGCATTCATTGGAGCATTAAAACGCTTCATAGCAAGACGAGGACGCTGTAAAACGTTATACTGCGACAATGCGACCAATTTCGTTGGAGCGAAAAACAAGTTGCAGGAACTTACTGACGTCATCTACGCTGATCGAGCGAAGGAATCAATTGCAGGAATGTGCAGTACGAAAGGCATAGAATTTCACTTCATTCCACCAAGGTCACCACACTTCGGCGGGCTATGGGAGGCAGCAGTAAAATCTGCCAAATATTTGCTGGTCAAAAATGTTTCAACAGCATCACTTACATATGAAGAGCTTGAAACTGTCGTTATTGAAGTTGAAGCAGTGTTGAACTCGCGACCCCTTATTCCTAGCTCATCAGATGCT